GAGCAATTCGTTTTCTCACTCTCTGCTCATTTTTACGCCTGATGATCTTAAGGAGGGTGGGAAGTGTTGATGTGTAGCAGCCAGGCTTGGGCTGTCATCCTTGAGCATTTGACATGCATCAAGGTATTTTCCTCTTCAAAAACCTACTCACAGAGGGAAACCTGTAACTTGTCAGCTGGTGTGCGGTTGAGTAGACAAAAGAGAATGCTTTTGATTTGAATTTGAATGCTTCAGCTAGTTGGTGATGCTGGGGAAAGTGCTCAGGCTTTTGTGTGTCCAAATCAGCTATTTTAAGACCCTTTAAAGCTGACTCTGGAAGTGTTTGAGGATATTTTCACTTCCCAGGGACCAGGGTTGCTTGCCTTTTTTAATCTTTCTCTTAAACAAGACAGGGTTGTAGCTTGAGTGTTTTCCTGGCCTTGGGACCTAGTTGGGCCTCATGCTCAGGACTTCTCTTTTGAGCTGGATTTATCCATGGCAGAAGGGCTTTGCAGAATGCCAGACTATAGCCAGGCTCTGAACATCCTCACGCACAAGAGCGGCGAAGAAACCGGGTTTGCGTGATGATCACTTTTGCCTAACTTTGAAACTAATGATTTTATTATATTCCTTTCGTATGTCCCTGGTTTGAGTGTTGTACATTTACTTAAGGACAGATGCATTTCTGAAAAGTGCCGAGAAAGCTTTAGTTTGTGCATAAGCAAATTTCCCCTAAGCCCTCGTCAGCCAAAGAGATGTCCCCCTTGACCACCACTGTTGCGTAGAGCTGCCTCTGTTCTGTGAACCACCAGTCCCTGTCCACCTCCAGCCCCCTTGGGCACTGGGCTGCTCAGCCCCCCGAGCAGCGGGGCCAGGGCTCGCCCTGCGGTTAGGTTGAGCTGTGTACAGCCCTATCCCTTTCCATGCTATGGAGGACCAAATACTGTGGTAAAACACAGGGGGGTTTCACTGTATGAAGCCTGTCTGTCTTAAAGTAAAACCTCAGCTGGAACACTGGGATGCTCAGTGACACTCGGCCCATCGAAGCAGCCTAGGGAGGTGGCTCTAGGGGAACAGGAGCAGGGACATGTGGCATTTGGGGGTGCCTGTGTAACCCTGTGAACTGGGTCCCTATTTCTGCATGCCCTGTGTGCAGACAGAGAAAGTGCCTGGCCTTTGGCATCCTTTGGAGTCTACCGAGGAAGCAGACTTGAATGTTGTGTACCAGAGTGGCCCCCCTTAATGCTGCTCCTCCCATCCCAGTCCTCTGATTTGCACATTGTCATAACAATTGCTTGGGGAAGGGCTTGCTCAGAGACCAGCATTACCTTTCCTGGCTTTTCCAAGCATTGAAACAAAGCTGAAGTGGCACAAAATAGAAGGGCGAAGTACCACAGCCCTCATTTCCCACAGACCTCGTTTTGGAGGCTTAAAGCTCAAGTCAGGAAATCCTAGCAGCAGATCCTCTGGGTTGGAAGGGAAGCCTGTTGTGTGTGTGCCCTGTTGCCACGTGATTGTCCTGATGTTGCTAGCTGAGCATCAGCCGGGCACAGCGGGTATCAGTGGTACCTCTGCTTCCCCTGAGCCTTATCCTCCAAAAATAGATAGTGCTCTTGGCTGGAGGATTTCACCAGATCCCCTCGGGATGAAGCTCAGCCATCACAGTGGGCAACTTGCTGAAACTTCTGCTGGTGTGCAGCTGCAGTTGAAAACGTTTGAGCATCCTGAATGTCAGAGAAACAGGATGGTCGAATAGCGCCGATAACATCACGGTGTACAGTTTCGCTATAAATCATTTGGGCAGCCTTATCCAAATAGTGTGTGACGTGCCGATCAGCCCGTCTCAGAGTGGAGATTGCAGATGTAGTATAGGGGGAGTGCTGAGTCTGAAAAAAGAGCAAGGAAATTATACAAAGTCTTGCCAATGGCTGGTGAAAACAGGAAAGTTTTCCTTCTTGGAAAGGTGCAGTGTCAGAGGAGATTGAATTAAAAGCCATTGAATGATTTAAAGAGGCAAATCTCCTGCCTCCTTGTGCACAAACAAGACACTGAAAAGCAGAAGAGTCGGAGCCGATTAAAAGAAAGAAAAAAACGTTTGTGCAGCATGACAGGAGACTGTGGGACCCACTACCGTGGGATCATGGTGAAGCACAGAGGTCCTGGATGAGTGAGTGTCAGCGTTACCAGGTCAATACGATTCAAGAAGTTGGGCAGTGCCATTTGGTACAGCTGGACCAGAAGCAGACCCAGGCAGTAAAACGATACTAATTTTCTGTTTTCTTTTTTTGAATAGGTTGCAGCAACACTGAGACAATCTGCTAGTGATCAAGAACATCCAGTGACTAGTCCAACTGTAGAGACTGGTCAGCAAGCCAATAAGTTAGAAGAGCTCAGGAAAGAGATACCTGTCCGCCAGGAGACCAGAGGGGCTGGGAAAAGGACAAATCCTCGGCTGAGGCCTCAGGAGCCACCAAAGCCACCAGCACCTTCTCCAGACCATGTGCAGTCCAGCAAGGAGCACCCTCCCTCTAGGAAGCAGGCAGAAGGACATTCCTTTGCTCTTGAGGGCAGAGAGACCCAACAAGGACTGTTAAATCAAGAGAACAAAATTCAAGGTGAAGAAGAGCCATTGCTAAAGAAATCAAGTCCTCCAGAGCCTGGAGAAAACACTCCTCTTGAGCAAATCACACATCAGACAGCAGTCAAGGATGGGAAGAACAAAGAGGCAGGAGCAGAGCTGTCTGGGAGCCATCCCGGTGCAGAGGAAGGAGGGAGTGGTGCAGCAGAGCCATCTCCTGGGGCTGCACACAGGGAAGCGGGAGGGACACCTTTGGGACATCAAGAGACTGAAACACCAGCTCCTGCTTCAGTTCGACTTGCCAAGGAAGAGCTGCTTCCCACTCCTATTCCTGCAGCCAAGACGTTGGCGGCTCAGAGGGCACTGCTTGCAGCTCACGACACCCCAGGGCTGGAGGCCACAGCAGCAGCGGTCCCATCTGGAGCCCAGCTGCTGCCTCCTGCAAGCAGAGAAATGGAAATCAAAGAGGCAGATGGATCTGCCCCGCAAGAGAAGTTTTCAGCCAGTGCGTTAGGGGAGGAAAGTGCCAAACCAGTGCCTCTGGGACCTCAGGGGAAGGAAGGAGGAGAGCAAACAGCCACAGCTCTGTGCCAGGAACGGGCAGCACCTTCAGGCACTTTTGAAGGAGGTGCTAAGGTTCAGCCACAAGTACCGCTGGTCCTGCCTAGCCCCGAGAGACCTCAGGAGATGTCTTTGGAGGAGAAGATGCAGCACAAAAACCTTGTTTCCTCCTTGAAGAACTATCTGCTGCTGCTTTTAAAAATGTCAGATAGCAGTAAGGATGCCACGGAAGAAGACACTGATCCCAGGGACAAAGAGCAGCCTGATGCAGAGGAAGTCATGCTCCCAGAGATAGGCATTGCAGGCCTGAGCCCACGCACCTCAAGGAGAGTTTTGGAAAAGGTACAAAACAATCAGCTCTTCCAGACAGCAGAGAACTTGCCTCTGACTCCCAGGACGTCCAGGCGGATCACAGGCATGATTAACGAGGAATTCATTACCAGCAAGGAGATGCTGGCTTCCAGGCCTGTGCCACCGAAGAGACGTACCCGGGTTGCTTCCGAGGTGGAGGGGCCACCCCAGCTCTCTGTGCCCTCCATTGTGGTGGGCAGCATGCTGGCAGCAGGAGCAGGGCAGCCACCTAATATTTCCGATTTGCCTCCAGTGAACCCTGAAAAAGAAAGCCCTGGTGACTCTCTGGCAGTGCTACCTTGTGCCACACCAGAGGAGCTTGCTTCCGGGGCTCGGCGCAAAATATACCTGCCAAAATCTAAGCAGGTGGAGGAGGAAGAGGAGGCAACCCCAGAGAGCCCAGGGCACGCAAGAAGTCCTACCGTTTCACCACGACAATCCAGGAAGAACACGGCCCAGTTGCAGTCACCTGCGCTGGCTCCTTCCCCTTCCTCAGGGCAGCGCTCACCAACCCTCACGAAGAAGATGGCCACATTGGAGGTTCCTAAGCTGTATGAGGAGCCCACAGGTGACAGCAGTGGTGACCACGAGATCCCTGAAGATGCTAAGCCAGAAGCCCAGCCAGCAGAGTCCAAGAAAGCAAATAACCCATTTAAAGGTAAGGGAAGAGGTCACCCCATGAGGCATGCTTCCTTGTTGCCTACAAAGGCAGCCTGGCCAACTGAGCCGGTGGTAGTCAGCTGGGGCCACGTGAGTTTTGTGGATGTGCAGGGTTTTCAGCATCACCCTTTGGCTGTGTGAAAGCCAAAAGTCTGCCCCAAGGCTTCTTCCCTAGCACAGGGAGGGTGGAGGAACGCAAGTGGCAGCAGTGCTGAGACTGGCTGTCTCCACAGCCTGGGCTTCCTGGCCAAAGGAATCATATAATCCTCTTGTTCTTGGTTTGCATGTCCTGGTCCTCACCGTGCCACTGGTCCAGTGGGCATCAGCTCCTTTTCCACCTCCATGGCCAATGCTAATTTGAACCCTCGTGGCATTGAATTAGAAAAGGCGTAATCTTGGTGCTGAAGTGCTTGCGGGAGCCAGGTGATGCCCTCACAGAAACCAGCGCTCTTGCAAAAGTAAGGGTAACCTTGATAAATCCCTACTTCAGTAGATAAACGTTTCCTCCAGCACTGCATAGTGTTTTCCTGCATTGCCTCTGGCTCAGTGCAGTGCTGCGCTTTGAACGAATTTGTACCACTTGTATCCCACCGCATTTATCCAAGCGGAGCTCTCAGATCTTCCCTGGGAAGGCCGCGTTGTACCAGGCTGTGCTGACATACACGTAATACCCAGCACCAGAGTCCTAAGCAGCAGTGCTGGGGTAGGCTGGCCTGTCCCCAGAGCTGCAGCCAGCACTGTGTGTCTCACCATCGATCTCTTTGCACCCTGTCCTTAGCTCCACAGGTGATTCGTAAGATCAGGGCAGAACAATTTTCCGATGCATCAGGAAACCTGAAACTTTGGTGCCAGTTCTTCAATATTTTGAGTGATTCTAAGCTGATGTGGTACAAGGACGAGATCCCTGTAGCAGAAGCCCAAAGGAGGTAACCTGCCAGCTCCGCTTCGTTGTAGTCCTTGTGCATAGCCCTGGGTTCGTGTGGTAAATCCAGCTCCTTGCGTTTTCTGGGGTGAAGGTGCCCCTTCTGTTAAGGCTGCATGGGAAGCTCGTTGCATGGCACGGTACGTTGTGAACTTGACCTTCTCAGTGCCCAGGGAGGGAGGGATCACCCAAATGTGGAATTGCTGCCAGATTTGTCCTATTGATACTCCATCTGGAGCTTTGTTTAAGGGCTGGTGCTTTGAGTAGCAGAGCCCTGGGGAGGGCAGGGGCTGAACCCAGACCGTGGGGAGGGTGGGGAAGGTGCTGTGCCAATCTCAGAGTTTGAAAGCTGGGTGTGAGCTGCAAAACTGGGACCCCAAGTGATAACCTGTGAGGGTGGCAGCTGTGCGGGAGGGGCTGTGCACTGCACCCAAGCAAGGGCTTCCATGCACCCACCACTGGCAAACACCAGCAGGGAACAACCAGCTCTGGCTGTACCCTCTCTATGCCTTGGCACTGCCCTTGCACAGGGAGAGCAAGTTTGGACAGCTGGGTGGCTCTTTGTATCCTGGATGCTCCTCTGGGAGCGCGATATGGAGAGCAACATCTTCTTGAGCCCAAGGGAGCTTGTGTGGGAACATCATTCACATTGGGCAGGATTTGCCTGATGCTGTTGAGTATGCCGTGAGCTCCCTTTACAATGAGCAGGCAGGAAGAGGTGCTTTGGGGCAGAAAGGGTCTCCGACACCAGATGTATGAGCTGGGGCAGATGGACCAGGAGTGGCCATTGCCTTCCAGCTGACTGGAGCAGCAGGTCTCAGGATGAGGGTCCTACCTCTTCCCTCTGTGGCCCATCATCCCCTTGCTGGTTCATGCTGGGGGCAGAAACAGGCCTTTGGTTCTTGTGGAGACCCATCTGCCTGGTGTGTCACCACCTTGGCTCGAGGGACTGACTGCCAGCACAAAGCTTGGTGAGCAGGCTGGGGAAGACTGGCAGCCTGGTGATACAGAGCTTGTGCTTTGCCGGTCCCTCGGAGAGCGGCAGGCTGCAGGGTGAGGAGTGCTGTGTGCACTCCCTCGTGAACAGCTCGAAATGAAGCCGGACACTTCCGTGGCTGTGTGGCTCCCAACCACCCCATCCAGATGCAGGTATGTTAGCTCAAGCACAGCCACACTCAGAGGCAAGTACCTTTGTCAGTCTGTAGCCCATCCCAGCCAGGTTTTGCAGAGCTTGCCTGGAAGACGAGTGTCTCCATGAGTACAAACTGCAGGGCAGGACTGGTGCCATGAGGTGCCAGGGGAGCAGCTGGGATGCCCTTGGGCTGGCTTCCTTTGTAGCCCTCTTCCAGCCCTCCAAGGGCAGCACAGTGCCCACTGGCAGTGCCTGCTGGCACTCCCGCGTACCCCCACGCATCACGCGGGGCTGAGGCCGTGCTCCGGTTTCTTCCAGCGCTGGTGACGAGGGCCAGGCAGCCTTGGCTGTTGTGCAGGCATCCCAGAAGGACTGCGGGGTGTACCGGTGCGTGATCAGCAATGAGTATGGCACTGACTCCACTGATTTCCTGCTCAGCCCAGAAGGTGAGGAGCCCTCAGCAGCCTGGCAGCTCTCCCAGCTATCTGGGTGTGCCCGTGGGGTGGTGTGGTGAACTGTGGAGAGGGCTTAGTGCCAGGCTGGGGGGGGAAGCCTTGTGTGCCGTAACACCATCTCTGCGAGGTGCATCTGTCTCGGGGTGCTAATTTGTGAGTGATTCACGCCATCCTCCTTGCCACCCCTTGGTGTCAAAGTGCACGGGGCAGGGTGGGATGCTGGCAGGACCTTGACTCCTCTTTGCTTTCTGTCTCCTCTAGTGCTGTCGGGATTTGTCCTGCGGGAAGAGATGGAAGGTAAGAGCCACGTGCTGATGAGCTGGAACTGCTGCCCCTTGCTGTAGGAGGAGCGGGCAGCTCTGTGGCGGGGGGCAGGATGTGTCTGCATTCTCCCCCCTCATCAGCTCTTCCCTCCGCCAGTTGGAGAGGAGATCGAGATGACGCCCATGGTGTTTGCAAAGGGTTTGGCTGACGCAGGCTACTGGGGGGATAAGCTCTTTGGGCGCGTGGTGAGCGAGGACGTGGAAGTGAGCGCCGGTTTCCTGCGCAAGGCCTGCCGTGCCAGGGCCATCTATGGCCTGGAGCCCATCTTTGAGTCCGGCCGGACCTGTGTCATCAAAGTGCACAATTTCATTGTCTTTGGGACCAAGAATGAGAACAGCCTCATCGAGAAGAACTATGATATCACCATCCAGGTAAGCATCCTTGTGGGTCACCCTCCACCTCTCCCACTCACACCTTCCCCATAGATCTGTGCCATGCTCCCCAGCTCTGTGCCCACTTTATTTCCTTCCACTTTCTGAATGCTCTGCAGGGGTCGAGCCACATTCCAGCAGACTGGTAATGTCCTTGTTATTCTTGGCTTCAGCTCTTCTCTCTGAGCAACACGGAGCTGCTCGGACCTTTCCCGGCACTTGTCCTTTGACCACCAGGACAGGGAAATAACTGGCAGTGGTCCCAGGGGATGCCTGGCCAGGCGGGAGGTCCCAGGGAGGCGTTGGTGCAAGACGGGACAGGTCCCTGACTCTTCTGTTTGCATTTCCAGGAATGTAAAATCCAGAACTCCAGCCGCGAGTACTGCAAGATCTTCGCTGCTGAGGCACGAGCCGTCCCTGATTTTGGAGCAGTGCCCGAGTGAGTGTGGAGCTGTGGCTCTGCTGGCTTGACATCCCACCAGAGCATCCTAGGGTGTAGTGGGAGGGTTCCCCACGGGCACCGGTGACATTGCAAAGGGCTGCACGGTCTTCTCGTGCCCTTAAACAGGAGGGATGCTGGGGGGAAGGCAAAAGCCAAGGTTGCAGACTGTGGTGTGAATCTCCACTGGCTGTGGTGGGAGAGCTCGCCAGCTGGTGCTGACCCTGATTGTGCACTCCCACGCAGGATAATTCCTCTGTACCTGATTTACCGACCGGCCAACAACATCCCTTATGCCACGATGGAGGAGGACCTGGGCGGGCCCTGCGAGCAGTACTGTGTCACCGAGAGAGATGGCACCTTGGTGGCACGAGGCACTTCGGAGATCGTGCTCAAATGCTGCACGTTCCAGCATTGGGTCTACCAGTGGACAAATGGAAATATCCTCGTGACTGACATGGAAGGTAAAGAGATCTCCCATCTGACTCCCATGGGCCCTCACCACACTCTCTGGCCTGTGAAAGGAGGAACAGCCATGGCCTTGCCCTCCTGCCTCTTAACCCTGTGCCACGGAGCCTGGCTCCCAGGATGATGACCTCTCCTTGGTGTCTGTGCCTGTCCTCTGAGCAGAGACTGGTTGTCCTCCCTTTCATTGCAGGAGTGGGCTGGAAGATGACCAACGTGCGGATCGCTACCAACCTGAAAGGGTGAGTGACCCTGAGCTGCTGGCGCAGGGTGGCCCTGGCTGTCTCCGGCTCTGATGCTCACGTGGCAAAGGGCCATGGTGGCAAGCAGGGCCAGGCTCTGTCCTCAGGTCCCTGCTCCATTGGGACGTCTCCTGGTGCGAAGCAGGAGCTGAGTACGGTTGTGTTGGCAGGTACCAGGGGCTGAAGGAAAGCTGCTTTCCCTCCCTGCTGGAGCAATTTGTGGCCGCTCACCAGTGTAACCATTACTGCA